TTCTTCAACATCCAGACTCTAATGGAAGAGATATCAGATGTTTAAACATACTAAAATCAACTTTTTAATAGTTATACTGAAATTGCATCTTTATTTAATTACTTTCAGAAAGTATCCCTATAGCCAAAGTTGCTGAAACAAATGTTTTATATACATTTATAATAAAACTGCCAACAGACAGCACATCCAGGTGCACAACATTCTGCCTTTCCAGGCTTCTCAAATATAACTGTCATCTCTGTTTAGCATCTTTGGATGACTTAGGATGAAACTAATCAACCAAGTTTCAGAAATAAAAACCGTATCAAACTTCTCCTAGAACATGCTCACAAAAATGTTGCATACTACTTTTAAAATACACATTTTTCCAGACATTAAGTCTCTGGCACAGTGAACAAGAGGAATGACAACATTTTGTGAGCAGTCTGAATCCCAGTGTTTCTATTCCCATTTTCTGCCATTCACTCTCCCAGACTTCCCAGGTGCCTGGGAAGAATCTGCACATAAGCTCCTTACAGCCTTTTCTGCACCCAATGTCATTATGGTAAGACAGAGACTAATGCAGATCTACATGCAAGGATATCAACTTCAAATGTTGTGGATTTTGCATTAAATGGTGACAAATAAATCCAATGAAAACTGCAAACTACAACTTTCTCCAAGGGAAAAGCAAGTCTCTCTTTAAATACTGGAGACAGTAAAAGTAGATTTTAAAAACTGAGAAAGCATATTTTGAAGCACTACTTTTCAGAAGTATCGGAGAGATGCCCATTTCTTTAGTTCCAGTGAACCCCCAGTCTGTAAGTGACCGAAGGGGCTGTTACTCACCCCCCATTCGCTCCATCACGGCGCCCAGCACCAGGCCTGAGCACGTTTCCATCACCATCATCTTGTTGCCAGCACGGACGTTTCCCAGAGTCAGCATCTGAGCAAGGGTGTCATAGCGCAGGTGGCTACAAGACAGTGTTGCAAGAAATAGCTCATTAGTTTGCTTAGAAATACTGCATACAGGGAGATTTTCAGAAATAGGATTGGTGGTCACCATGTAGGAGCTTACAAGAAGATTGTGAATGCCTAACAATGAAGATTAAAATTCCTGCTTTGGGTAGGTCGCTTGTGATTTTGATTATTGAGCCAGAAAACAGAGACAATATGCCGAAACCAGGTAAAAGATACCTCTGAAAATGCCAAGAGCCTCTGTCTACATAGGTATATGTGCTGAGAAGCTAGTGGCAGGGAAGCAATAAAAGCTGATACTGCAAGCAGAAGATTATTCCTCTTTCTGCAATAGCATATTGATTCATTTTCTACATCACAGGATTTTTCATTAATTTGCGATCCTTCCGTTAGCAGGAGAAAAGGAAGAAAAGTGTTATACGCTCTGGTATAATAAAGGTATTTTGAAAAATATTAAAATATCTTTCTGTGATAATTTGAAAAAATAAATAAAATGAAAACTTACTTAATTTTTCCAGGTTCCCTTGCATAATACATTGTTGAAAGAATGCGAGTGGATGGTCTCACAATTGTAATAACTGCCTCGTATCTGTCAGAAACATAGTAAGGGTCTTATTTAAAACTCAATATATTAGAGAACTACTAATTATTTTCCACATTCTAAAATTCACTTACTTTTTTTTCTTCTTCTTTATGTATTTATCTTGAGCAAATTCTGTTTTGTCTCTGAATGTTGTACTGTTCTCTATTAACTGCTGAACTATTTCCTTGGAAGAGACAATTTATTTTTATTATGGCTGGTATTTATTTGTCATTCATTTCATATAATGTATTTTTTTAAACAAACACTGAAAAGATTTTCTTCCAGTAGAGGCATGTATACCAGTAACTTCTACTGGCATTAATGGCAAAGTAAATTTCTATTAATCAACAGGACAAGTGAGGCACAACCCTGAATATGTCCAGGAATTAAATGATATACTCTTGTCTCTAGATGTTCTTTATAATGCCAGCATAAAAAAAATGATAAAACTGAAAATGCTTACCCTGGAGACAGGGTATTTTGTGGGACAGGAACCTAGTTCATGTTTATTAGCAGTTATTCTGGAATGACTGACATATATTCTCTCAGTCCAACATTGCCCAGAGTAACTGAATCGTGTGACAGTACCCAGAATCCTGCATAAAAAATATTTTACAAAGCCAGAACAAAACATGGAACCTGATGTCATAGGTAATATTTACTTTAATTCAGCTCCCTCTTGGGGTCTCTTGTCTGACTCTGTCTCTGGGGATACCTTTTTTGTTTTACCTCTTGTGTTAGTTTCTCCCCTGTACTCTGGCTATTTATCAGACGTGTGCCTGACCCCGCTTGATTTTGCTGCCTCTCAAATTGTGCTAGGCTCCTCTACCAACTCTTTGCACGATGTCAAGCTCCTCTGCATTTGCTGTTTCCTACAATACTCCCTCTGACTTCTTCCTTCTCTAGCTCCCAGGTTTTTCAAAAATTCCAGGTTTTGTTCCCTCATCTCCTTGTTCTCATCTCCTTCCTTAGCCAAACCAACTCTCTTCCCTCATGCTTTCAGGTTGCAGCTAGAGGAATCACTAAGACTCCCAACAGAAAAAAGCTTTCATTGCTCAGGGCTTGTCTCCATGCCTGCAACACAAGAACAAATACTGCAGTGCTATTGTGCAATTAAAACAGTTTAACAGCTAAAATGCTAAGTTTCTATTAAACAGGTAGGAAGAACAAGAGTATAACCTGGCCTGAGAGGAGTTGGGAGAGAGTGCTGGTGATGAAAGGAGCATTTTCCATGTGGACACTACAACTCCCCTTGTGCTTTAAGAACACACTCCAAAATACAGTGGTGCAAGTATTTCTCACTTGCTATTGCTGCTTTTCAGGCCATGATTTCCTAGTGTCCTTCAAACATGTTCAATGTATTATTTAATGGGTGAAACAGCTCATCTTTCCTTCTTTGTCTTATTCTTGGAAAAAGCTAAATGCAGCATCTGGGTTGTTTTGCTGTTTTTTTTCTTATTCCAGTAAAATTTATGGTGAGGAAACTGGGGAGTATTTCTCCAGGGTAAGCAAAGGCCAAAAGTAAGCTGCAGCACTATGCAATGCCCTGGGAGTACAAGTCACTTCATTTCTTCAGCCTAATGTATATCCCTCAGGACCTGGGAAGGATTTGGGAAGTGATGAGAAATCAAACCCCATGGACACTGTTGAATTTCAAGTAACAATCACCTCTGAGCTGCGCCTGCATCACAAAGACATGCCATTCACAAACTTTAGTTCAGATTTTACCAGGTATTTATGGAAGAATAATATCAATTGATGCTCATGTAACACAGTCCAAAATGAATATTCAGCTACAGCTCAGAAACCAGAGTTAACAAAGTAGGATGTTTTAATAAACTAAAAGTATGGTAGACATATGGCACAGGCATGCTGACGACATACAGAAAAGGCAGTGATCGGCCAGGGATAATGAGAATGAGCAGAAAACAAAGCTATCAGATCAATTAGTACATTCTTCTCAGAGAGCTAACAACATGAGCAGCACAACCATGGAAACAGAAGAAATGCCACTTTAAACTCCTTGGACCCATCCATTATCAAGCAGGCAAAAGCAGAACAGCTGCTCTGAAAAGCAGCAGCAAACAGCAAGATGCAAAGAGGAGCTGAACTTGATGTAAGCACAAGCAATTTCTTATTTTTATTATAAAGGGTAAACCAAAGATGAGAGAATTTTGCCTGATAACACATGCAGAACTGGCTGCAATGGCTTATTAACATTTAAGATGGCTTCACTTCTTTTTGACCAAGTGCCAAACCAATCCCTTTTCAAACAGAACTGATCTCTTGAGAATATTCTTAGCTTTTGAGGTGCAGATAAAACACAGGCATCACATGTGGTTGGTAGGTACCACCTAGAGGTACACAAACAGTACATTTGCTACACAGTGTTATTTCTTAACATTCTGGTGTTTACCCATAATA